CCAGGGGAGGTTTAGATTGGATGTAAGGAAAAATTTCTTTACTGAAAGAGTAGTTAAACATTGGACCAGGCTGCCCAGGGAAGTGGTTGAGTCACCATCCCTGGAAGTATTTAAAAGGCGGGTAGATGAGGCGCTTAGGGACATGGTTTAGTGGGCATGGTGTTGTTGGGTTGATGGTTGGACTCGATGATCTTGGAGGTCTCTTCCAACCTTTAATGATTCTATGATTCTATGATTCTATGATTCTAATGGCCTTTTCACAATTTTAACTTTTAGTTGTGATGACAGAGAAAGTAGAAACAGAGAGAAGGTGTTCCAGCACTTTTTGAAATGTCTTAATGTTTTCTTCATACAGGCTTAGGGTTTGGGAAGCATTGTTATGATTTCATTCAACTGACGTCCAAATTTGCTGTGGTCTGGTACAGAGTGGCAGTGGAGTGTTTTAGCTCTGGGACTTTGGGGTAGTCATGGTTCAATGGCTTTCATCAAAAATGGTTCTAGTGTTTTAATCAATGCAACCGAGGCAATATCTTAGTATAGTGTTTCCCTGTTGTCTTTTTCACTGGCTGTAGTTTCTGGCTAGAGCAATTTGACCGAGTGCTGGAGCTGGTGTAGGTTGCTAGTTCGCTCCAAGTGCGATTTAAAATCAAGACCCAAAGCTAGCTACCATTTAATCACCTGGCCTGGGATCCTGGGGAAGCTTCAGGATCTGTTATAGCCATTCAGTGGGGTCTAACCCTGACCTGTCTGTGCCCATGCTACACTGTCCGAGGGCAGAAGCTTATGAAAAGGAATGTATTCTGACTCTACATTGCCAGTGTTCTGCGCTGCGATTAATTCCTTCTTAAAATATGTCTTTATTTAAGGTCATGCACATTTAACAGATTTTAATATTGCAACAATAATTAGGGACGGTGAAAGAGCAACTGCATTAGCTGGAACAAAGCCATACATGGGTAAGAAATAATAGCTGTTCCTTACGTCTGTATTTTACATTTCAGCGTGCTCACCGCATGCCGCCTGACAGTCCCTGTCTGTGAGAAAGGCACTGAATTAATTTAGCACATTAATGCATGCGCCCAAGTCATTCAGCGGAGCCTGATCTGAAAAGTGAAATTCCCAGAGTGAATGAATCGCTGTCAGCATACCCTCCCCATCCCGCCCTGCCCTCCCCCCTGGCCCCAGGCTGGGACTTGGTGCGTCCCGGCAGGCGCTGGGTTTCTGCCGTCTCTCACTCGCTTGGTTGGGAGGGCTCTCCTCGTGCGCACCGGATAACCCAGCTGCCCAGCGAGGGCGGGCCTGCTGCTGCTCCTGCTGCTGCTCCTGCTGCTGCTGCTGCTGCTGCTGCTGCTGCTCACACTGGCTTGCAAAGCCTCCCCTCGGGCAGTAGTGCGTAAAAATAACCATAAGGTTTACATACTGATTTACATGAAATACTGAAATAGAGACAAACTGAAGTCAGCGAATAACCTGTTGCATTTTGCCCTTTCTGTTCAGCCCCGGAGATTTTCCATTCCTTCCTGAACGGTGGGACGGGCTACTCCTTCGAGGTTGATTGGTGGTCGCTGGGAATCATGGCTTACGAACTGCTGCGGGGCTGGGTAGGGCTCCTGTACGGTCCGAGGCCTAAGAACACACTTTCTGCTTGACTGCAGAGAGGAGAGGGAATTTCTTCTCATCTTTCTGCTTTTTTCCCCCAGAGACCGTATGACATCCACTCCAACAACCCCGTGGAGTCTTTAATTCAGCTGTTCAGTACTGTGAGCGTTCAGTACTCGTCTGCATGGTCAAAAGAAATGGTTGCTCTATTAAGAAAGGTAAATAGTCCTGCTGGCATGGTTTACATTGTACATTAGCCTCAGTGCGTGTGAGACTAGCTGGAAAATTTTCGGCATATTAAGAAATAATGTAAACTTGAAATAAGACTGATTTTTATGACTTTGTTCAGGCTTAAGCACAGATTAATCTTGTGTTTTGTTTGTTTATTATCCCTGTAATAAGATGCATTATTTTTGATAGCAAGGGAAGAAAAAGGCTGGTTTTGGTGGGACAATCAAATCCTACCTGGGCTAGAACTGTGCCCTTCCAGCATCCCCCTGCATGATTGTCATAACCTAAAAAGGCAGCGATTGTGGCTGAGACGGCCGTGTGAGATGGAAAAGCATGTGCTGCCCCTGCTGCATTAGCTGCTCTCTCTGGACAGTTCTGCCAGACTGAAGGGTCTGATTCGGTGTGTTTGGTTGTGAGAACTGTCTGGGGGGGGGTTTCCATATCTATGGGTGGTCTGCTGCTTTCTTTGTACTGCTATACAAGAAAGTTGTTGATATGGTGTGGAGGCTGTAGTTTTAGGTTCTGCTTGCTTTAGAACTCAGAAAAGTAGCTGATGAGTGTGCTATGAAAAAGATATACACAGTGCTGACAGCAAATAAGTGACTCCGATGTAAGTTAATGTTGGGTGGACAATTTACATAATTAGATTTTGTTTTAATGAGAAGCAGTGTTGTTAGTTATGACTGCAGCGGAGCATTCAGCAAGTTCACATTGCCATCTGCTGGGCTGCCAGCAGTCGGGCTTCTAGAGACTGGGCGGGAATTACATGTCTCACCAGGGAAATGCCAGCAGCCACCTCAGCCTGGAAGGACCCCCCATGTCCCCCCAGAGCGCTGGGGTTTCTGTAGTCCTGCCCACTGGGGCAGTCCGGGGGGCTCTGCTGATGCCCAGGGGTGATGTCGGGTGCTGCTTTCCCCACCCACTCGCCTGCCGGGGCCAGCTCCCGCTCCCCGTTCCCTGCTCCCAGCTTCGATGCCCCGCATCTCCTTCCCGCTGGGCTGGTGCCATCGCAGCAGCCTTACTCAGGAATGGGGAATTCCTCCCTTTTCATTTTAAAGATGAAGTTGGAGCTGGAAGCCATTGTGCAGCAGGAGAGAGATGACTTAGTCGCCATCACAGAAACATGGTGGGGTGACTCTCATGATTGGAGTGCTGCAATGGATGGCTATAGACTCTTCAGAAGGGACAGGCAAGGAAGGAGAGGAGGTGGGGTGGCTCTGTATGTTAGGGAGTGTTTCGATTGTATAGAGCTCAACGATTGTGATGATGATATGGTTGAGTGTTTATGGGTAAGGATGAGGGGGAAGGCCAACGAGGCAGATATCCTGCTGGGAGTCTGTTATAGACCACCCAACCAGGATGAAGAGGCAGATGAAGCATTCTACAAGCGTTGGCAGAAGTCTCTCGATCGCTAGCCCTTGTTTTCGTGGGGCACTTCAACTTCCCGGACATCTGCTGGAAATGCAACACGGCAGAGAGGAAGCAGTCTAGGAGGTTCCTGGAGTGTGTGGAAGACAACTTCCTGACACAGCTGGTAAGTGAGCCTACCAGGGGAGGTGCCTCGCTCGACCTGCTGTTTACAAACAGAGAAGGACTGGTGGGAGATGTGGTGGTCGGAGGCCATCTTGGGCTTAGC